CAAAGCAGCCCAGGCTAAGGAGCTTGCCGGAGGAGAGCTCTTGAATACAATGGGGCAGAGAGGTGACTGGGGACTGAGATGGGACTTAGAAGAGGCAGGACAGGCACAGGTGAACATGTTCCCTGGGAAACAGGCGAGATGAGCAAGCTGGCTGAGGAAAGACTTGAAAAATGAATAGGCAAGGATGTCCAAAGTTTAAAGACATCTGAACTGAAGAAACAAAGCAAGATCAGGATGAGAGGAGAGAAAATCACACCCATGCCCACGACAGCAACACTGCTGCCCGCCGAAGAGACAGGGTACAAAAAGGAACCAGAAGAAAGTAAGGCTGGTTCTGCTCAAAGGGAGAACAGGCAGGATGGGAGTAGCCTTTGTAGCCAAACTGAGGAAAGCCAAAAGGGCGCCTTCCCAAAGGCTTATTTCATTTGGGCGTGAGGCTGAGGCAGGAGGCTTGCTGTGAATCCAAGGCCAGCTTGGGCCACAGAATGCACAGTGACTTCAGTATTTCAGGGGCAGCCCGAAATACACAGTGAGACTCTGCGTTGAAAAATAGAAACAACAAACCCAAAGGCAGGACTGTGTGCTGGCTTGCTCTGTGAGTGGGTCAGCTGGCCAAAAGGCCTGGAGAGAGCAGAGGCTCAATAAATGTCACATAAATACATCTTCTGGACTGCTCATCAGTTAAGCTCATCATTTTTGAGGCAAAATTGCTGAGTACGAAAGTGTGTGCCCTGTAAGTTTAAAAGCAGGATGAAAAAATAAAATGTAAAACAGCAGAGCGATGAGTGACAGCAATACAGACTCTGAGATTCGGAAAATAACTACTTGGGGAAGGAGAAAGAGAGGAGATTCCCGGAATGAAGAAGGAACTGACAAGGAAACGGAAAGCTACAGAGAAGGTGAAGAGAGGGCAGACAAGTGAGTAGCAGCCAATCCCGGAAGTGCAACGCGGCCAGAGTCGGAATGCTGCCAGAGAAACGCAACATGGGTTTCGCTTGCCTCATAAAGGTAAACCATGAGAATTACAGCAGCCTTCAACACAAACCTTAAAGGCCAGTAGGGCTTGGAGGAAAGTGTTTCAAGCCCTAAAAGATGACAACTTCCAATTCCGATGTATATATCCTGCAAAGCTTTCCTCAAAATTGATGGCGAGATAAGGAATTTCCTCGGTAAGGAGAGCCTCAACAAGTCCGCGACCACCAAACCAGCGCTCCAAATAATTCTCAAGGGTACCTACCTTAGAAAGAGAAACTGGACAGAACAATGTCAATAAGTCAACTGGAGTGAATATACTTGACAGGGTGAGCAGTTAAGCAGAAGGGAAAAATAAAATGAGCAACAGGAAAACCATGCAATAACAAGAATAAGTCAATACCTTTCACAATAACACTTAATGAAAATGGTACCAATTCCCCAACGAAGACACATGCCTGCTTGAAAAGTAAGAATGTTTTCCCGTGAAAAGACTCAGGAAAAATAAAAAAAGAAAGCCCTTACAATGAGGTACCTTTTTATATCTTCTTCCATTAAAGAGAGACAGAGACAGAGAACAGCAAGGACAGAATAGAGCCTGAACAGGGCTATTGCTAATTCAAATGAGCACACGCCATCTCAGAGAAACACAGAGGGCACGGCAGCAGGCCACAGGCAGTCCCCAAGGACATGTGAGTAGGTCACAGAGGACGTATTCAGCACATTGTAGAGGACGCATGTGCCTGCCACTCCTCCGAATCACTCCCTCAAAAGCTGGCCAAGAAGCGCTACTTTCAAAAGCTTCTTAGTCTGTGAGGTC